TGGGAATCGCATCGTTGTCGGAATAGCATGCATCGAGAGTTGACCAAAAGCCTCCCTTAGGGTCAATGAGGGTTGATCTCTGTATTGTCCTTCACCCAGGAGGATCTCGGCGCGGCTCACTTCGCTCGGCGTCCCCATACATCGGACGATCTCCCGCATCCTCTGAGCAGCGTGCAGTGTACATTCTAGATCTCGCGCAGCAAGGAGAGGATATATGTCGTTGGGCAACATCGGCGATGATACCTCGGAATCGATCTGGTTCACAATCGCTTTGTGATAAGTCTCAGACTTGCGCACAGAAACTGACAGCAGTTGATGACTTGGATAATGTGATATGTCAGAGATCAATGCCAGCAATATTGTACAGTCAACATTGATGGTGCTGGTTAAAGGGACTGTTGGTGCAGTCGGGATCAGGGTTTCAAGATCGAGTTGCCGCTCCTCAACGAGTTTGTGGATATCCATATTGCATTCAACAATGGCACCAGTTGCGCGTAAGTCGGCAAGGAACGCATCCACATCAGGGACGATACCTTCGCGAAGATTTGGTAGAACAACCCGAATCTGTGGGTGCTGAAACTGGACTCTGACTTCTTGCGCCGCAGTCTTAAGATCTTCACAAAGTCGCACAAGTTCAAGTTTACCTGCCCCCGTGCTATCATCGTCAGTCCCAGGAGTATGTCCGTTTTCTATGTCGCTATCTTCACCACGATCTCCATACGTTTCCCAGCCTTCCTTGGCCATCTCAAAAAGGAGCCGTTTCTCCGTCAAAGTTGAGATTTTGACCCATTGCAATCCGTTGTCGGCCACAATATCCACCAATGTCTCTTTCTTCGTCACACCCCTCAGAATGGCTTTTCGGCTTACCGATTTATCCTCTCGAATCTCCTTACCGAAAGTGTTGTCATTTCCGGCAACGAACATTTTCTTACCCAGAGCTGTAATATGACGACATGATTTTGCGATACCCCAGACCGCTTCATAGAAGGGTAGGTTAGAGCTCCTCAGCGCGTGTAGTTGTGGACTTTCGTCATCTTGCAGGTCTGATTTGTCGACAATACAAGGAGGGTTGCTGTAAGAGGTTGCAAGCACGTGAGCTATCTTTTCCAAGCTTTTTACCTCCGACTCAATCCCTCGTTTGAAGACTCTGAGTTCTACTTGCTGTTGCTTTCCTCGAGCCTTGAGATGCGCCTGATATGATTGGAATTCCTGAAGCAAGGCCCTCGCACGGGATTGGAGGCGGTTGAGGAGGTGCGCCGAGCTCTGTGGGGAAAGTTCATTTCCATCGTGATCATCCGGAACAAGCATTGGAGCCCTTTTGCCGACTTGTGAGCATGGATGGGGTAATCATCGAATGAGAGAAGCAAGATTATGTCCAGTGGTGAAGAGATGCGAAATAGGTGCCCTTTGTGAAGAATGTGACTTTAGGCTGAACCTTGACAGTACTCACGTTGCGGAGTAAGTATACCGAGTGACCTTCTCATTGGCGGAATCGGACATACTGCCAAGCACGTGCTGTATTCCTCTCAACTGGGTGCGCCAGTGAAACACGGTATCAGGTCTCGGTCTCGATTGAAAGTGCCCAGGTGTGTGGCCATGCTTTAGAGTTCTGGATTCTTGATTTGATCGCCCGGTAACCACATGCAAACCCTGGAGTCAGCAGTCACGAGCATGTTGTAGCGGGGATTGCATTGCACTACTGGCGCCTTGATTCCTCGACCCGACAATCGGACCATAGGCTCCTGCCGAACATCGGTGACATTGTGGGTATCCCAGACAAGGACGTCCGGCTGGTCGCCCGCACCGCCGACAACATACCTCCCATCTTGTGTAAAACAGACGTCTCCTTGGCCCAGTGGCTTTCCCGATGTTGACACAGGAGCAGCTCGTCCAGTACCAGCGGTCTTCCCTTGTAGAAATGATTTGACCGTCCCATCAAAAGCGTCTAGAACGAAATGACCATGATAGTCAGTGCCGAGAAGCATATTTTTTCCATCGTTCGAAAACTCCAATTTGGTCCATGCTCGACCCTTCGTGGTAGGGGTGTACCTATCCTCCGCTCCAGCCATGTCAAAGGTAGCAAAGGGAGCTTTGTCGAAGTTTCGGACATCGTAGAGGAGGATAGAGGAGGTGGATTGAGACGCTATCGCCATTATCTGCGCAGAGGGGTCGTAGGCCGCGAGGTAGGGAGTAACAAGTTTCAATTTTCCTTGCGGGCTTCTAGAGTTCAGGTCCCATAGACAAACCATGTCGTCGTTGCCGCACGATAAGAACTGATCGCTTCCAGGAGACAGCGCTATACAAGTTACTTGTCCCGTATGAGCTGTAAAGTAGCGAACGAAGCTCTCGTTGTGGAGTTCCAATAAGCGTAGAGAATCATCTTGCTTCGTACTGGCAAACAGAACATTGCGCGGGTGGTGAGTGAACCGAGCCAGGTGAATACCATACTTCTTGCTGGGTATCGTCTTGGTTCTTTTTCCTTCTTTTATATCGTACACATGCATCGTTTCGTCGTCTGAGGCGGCCACGAGGAACTCGCCCATATCGTCGAAATCAAGGGATGTGACACGACTTTCGACCCCGTCTGAGCGAGTAGAACCGGGAAATTGCTAGATCTGATTAGCAGATACACGACGATAGGGTAAGGAGTACCTACTCTCGCAGGCCGGTATTGCTTGATCACATCGTGTACTTTCTGCTGCGGGAGTGTTGCCATGGCTAAGGATGGGGAGAAAGGTCCAAGCTGCGCAGAACGCTGCGCATCGACACGAAGATGATTCCAATGCAAGCAACAAGTGAGTTTAGAAGAATAGCCAGTGTCAGATTGTGCAGCGAACAATGTTACTTTGAATTGGACACACTTTAGAATCGTCTCATATCAAGAGAAAATGCGCGGTTCCTGTGCTTGAGTTGCCTATTTGAGGGCTTTGGATTGTCTTTCGCACTAAGAATTGGCGTGGACCCCGCCTAAAAGCAGAGTGGCCCTGCAGCAAACGATCGGTGCTCCCAGCCCCCAGTCAGCTGGAGGGTGTTGCTAACCCTTGGCCCAGAACCGCCTACCCCGGTCTCTTAGGCTTATGTACACCTACCTCGTAGAGCCCTGGGTGCCGCTCTTCTTTCTCCGACGTCGCTTTCGCGTAAGAATAAATCCGTTGTGGTGGAATAATTTTCTCGAACGACAGTGTGTCGCACGCGCAACTTCTTACAGTTGCTGACCTGCCACCAACTCGTTCGACCTTGACCACCCTACCACCCAAGAACATGTTGCGACTTGTCTGTTGATCCCTGCGGAAAAAATCACGGCAAGTCCAGGTACGAAGGCAAGAGAAACAGCCACTCAAGCAGCGGGCAACTCAACCATGTCAACGACAGCGGGCGCATTCATTGCCGGCGGTATTGCCGCTTGCGGAGCCGTCACCGCAACGCATCCTTTCGAAACAGTCAAGATCAGGCTTCAGCTTCAAGGAGAGTTACAAGCCAAAGATGTGGCAGTAAGGAAATACAAGGGCGTTTTTCACGGAGTCGGAGTCATCCTGAAAAATGAAGGACTGAAGGGATTATACAGAGGAATCGGAACTGCATACATCTACCAGATACTATTGAACGGCTGTCGATTGGGATTTTACGAGCCACTACGAGCGACGGTTACCAAGCTCATTTATAAGGACACCAATGTCCAGTCTCTCGGTATCAACATTTTTTCCGGCGCAGCTTCTGGTATTCTGGGGGCTATGGCAGGCTCGCCTTTCTTTCTGGTCAAGACCCGACTACAGTCATACTCTCCTTTCTTGCCTGTGGGCACGCAGCATAAATACCGCAACGCTTTCGACGGATTGTCACAGATTTACAAAGCAGAAGGAGTAAGAGGCCTATACCGAGGCATGGGCGCATCGATGGTCAGAACCGGAGCTGGAAGTTCGGTACAACTGCCGACATATTTCTTTGCGAAGAGACGGTTAATACGCCATTTCGGAATGGAAGATGGGCCCGCACTGCATTTGCTGAGTTCAACAGCAAGCGGCTTCGTGGTCTGCGTCTTTATGCATCCTCCGGTACGTTTTGTCCATAATCTCCAGACTTTGCCTTATTACAAATATTGACATATGATGCAGGACACTGTCATGGCGCGATTGTACAACCAACATGGCAATCTCTATAATGGTATTTTCGACTGTCTATGGAAGACCATTTCAACGGAAGGTGTCCTCAGCGTCTACAAAGGCTTCACGGCGCATCTCGCTCGAATATTGCCGCACACCATCCTCACATTGACACTGGCAGAGCAGACGAACAAGCTCATCCGAGGAGTCGAGAGCAGAATCCTACCCAAGGCTCTCGAGGAAAAGCTTTGAGACGCAGGATTCGATAGGCACCGACTTAGCGTTGCACTGTACGGCGTTCCTTGGGGCTGGCTTCCATCTTCTTGAGAGTTTGAAGACTCAGGCTTCTGGACACCAGGCGGATTTTGTGTGTATCGAGGCTCTGGAGGTTGCTGTATCCATATATCGCATGCCAATGTGAATTTGACAATTTGAGGGACACATTTACCCCTACCGACCCTCACGATGGTAGAAAAAGAGGCACTTGGGAAGAATGAATCATGTCCTTGCCACTCACGGGCATGCTCTAGAAGAGATGGTTGTAGCGTATACCCGCCACTTCATATAATTAGAGCTTGACATACCAGGTACATACAGTGTAAAACAACGCACACGGTTAGGGCTCAGGCGAGACCGATCTCGGAGGAATGCTGGGTGTGGCCGGTGCTGCCATATTAGGAATGGACGATCAAAGCAGCATGGGAACGTCCAGGAACGTCATAGTTAGGGGGCGGATCAGATCAGATTAGATTACTTTCTCGAACTGTGAAACTCTCGGAGCCCTTGGCTTGTAAAGGTTCATCATCGGGGGCTAGGCGTGCCGCTGCTTTTGATATCCACAGTACCGAGTACGTGTAGGCCATTTCTGGCCACTGACAAAAGGAGAGGGCCAACGACAAACTAGTCCTTGATATCTGGGACTGTGACGAGATTCTGCAAGAGATTCAACTGCGACATGAGGGTAGGTCGCTGCACTTGGGCATTTTGACCCCGATCTCGGGCTTATGCCAATACAATCACTTGTCTCGGATTTTCTTTATCCAGATCAGAATTGCTGTTCTTCACTATCGCCATTCGATGCCAGACAACCAACTATTCATCGACCTCAGGATCTCCCAGCCCTTTGCAACATCAGATTCCAGCACAGTCTCGTCGGAACCTAGAGCTTCCGGTTCCAATTGCGTCTCGCCAGACAAGTCGTTAATCCTCTCCAATGGGTTCGATCCGTTTGGTCTGTCGCTGTCGGTGATCATTTTGGATGCCGAGTAGTCACAATATTCACAACGGTTGTGAAGGCAAATCCTGCATCTGAGCCAACTCATGATCTCTCCGCTATTCTCACACCGGCAGCAGAAACCCCATGCTGACTTGTCGGGTTCACCAGGCCGGCTGGGCTCTCTGTACTGGCGGACTCGCTTCTGCACCATGTCGACTAAACCCAGCTCCTGGTCGAGGGCCTGAATGCCCTATCCACTGAGATACGTGAGAGACCGTCGTCTTCACCGGCGATTGTGACGTTCGCGTTCGAAGTCCTGACATTCATGATATGTGGGCGTTTCGGGACATGCTTGTTGATGGCTTCGTTACTCCGCTTTTTTTGTAGAATCTCGCCGGCGATGAGGTGTCGATTGGTAGAATTTGAAGCCATCGAGGAAGCCACTGTTGATAATGGAGGAGGGAGTTAGTAGGCCACAGCGAGAATACCTCAAGCACGATGCTGGTTCAGAGCTATGTATGCGTTTTGACCGGTGGAAGGAAGAACGAGATACGGCAATCAACTTCCGGCAAGTCATCTGCTTTCATGAAGTTCGCTTCCCTCTTCACGCGGATTCGGCGTGGCTGAGAAACTGGGACAGTCTCTCGTTGTCAGTGCGTGCTGCTTCATGGAGGGGTGTCCCAAGTCCCAGCTATGTGAAATGACAGTATGAACGCCGGTGGCTCAAACATAATAGCATCAATCGCTGAACCTTTCTCTAGCAATAGAGCAATCGATTCATCGGAACGCCCGACCCTAACCGCATAATGAAGTGGCTGTCCATAATCAACTGACGCTCCAAGCTCGAACAAGAGTTCAATGATGCTTTTTGGAGCAGACTGCGCGGCAATCGAAAGAGGTGTGATGTCAAACGTACATCGAGTATTCGAATCGGCGCCGTGATTGACTAGCCATCGCACAAGCGAGGGCAAGGGGAATTTCGCTGGTGGGTATAGTGTTCACGATGTCTGCGATGTACGAGGTAGGAACAGGTGCTCGGGGCATTACATAAGTCTGCATTCTTGGCACCAAGGGAAGCCCACCTCCAAAAGCGGCGGCCGCAACCGCCAAATTCGGAGGCACATTTCTCTGCAAGTTGCGTGGGTCTGTGGTCTGTAAAGTTTTTCAGAAACTTCAGGCAGCTGTCCAGCTTAGGGGGTTGAAATGACCACAGTGGCTGATCAAGAAAGTGCCTCTCCTGAAGTCCATCCAAGATCATTGTTCAGCACTTCATAAGGAATCCACACTGGCTAAGAATCCATGGTCACTGTCACGCACTCTGGTGGTGCATTGTTGTGGTAAAGTGGATCAACGTCGGACGCAGGCCACTACCTAGCCCTGCACCCCTGGTCGCCCCCCAGCCTGCGCGAACACGCTCTGTCACGTTGTCGCGGTTCACGCTCTAGCGCGTTCACATTAAATACGCCCAGCAACCAGTTTACATCTGCTCTCAATTGACATTTCTCTTCAACCCTTTCTACTCAACAACCACGACCACTTCTACTTGTCCTGCTCATATACCAGTACTTCTGTATTCCCTCATTGCTCCTTATCTCATCACTGAACCATGACGACTCAAGTTACGCCGTCGAAACAGGTGTGTTTGCCACTTGCATCATGGACTCTTTCTTCGACATGTACATCTTACTAACAAATACGCGCAGGCGGCTGCAAGCCTCGAGAATCTCAAGGTCAAAGACAGTCCTATTAAGAAACTCAACTTCAACGTCGAGGATAAGGAAAACATGCCTGTTCCCGTCGAGCCCACCGAACCCACGGCCAAACCGGAGCCAGAGACTGAGAAACAGCCGGCACCAGAGGCAGAGGAGAAGAACAAGCAGGCTCAGGTCCCCAAGACGCTTAAAGAGCTCGAGGCTGAAGAGCCACTGCTGCAAGAGAATCCTCATCGCTTCGTTCTCTTCCCTTTGAAGTATCATGAGATTGTACGTGTCATGGCTACCAGCGCAGATTCTTCTGTGACCGAAGTTTCCTGGCTAACGTTGCACAGTGGAACATGTATAAGCGTGCCGAGGCCAGTTTCTGGACGGCAGAAGAGGTCGATCTTTCTAAAGACCTTCACGACTGGCACAACCGTCTAAACAATGACGAACGCTACTTCATCTCCCACGTCCTCGCTTTCTTCGCTGCCTCAGATGGAATTGTCAACGAGAACCTTCTTGAGCGCTTCAGCGCCGAAGTGCAGGTACCGGAAGCACGTTGCTTTTACGGGTAAGCAACTCGCTCCCGCTCCAGGACTACGTTACTGACAGTCCCAAAAGGTTTCAAGTCATGATGGAGAACATTCACTCGGAGATGTACAGTCTTCTGATTGACACCTATGTGAAGGATCCCAAAGAGAAGACGTATCTGTTTGACGCCGTCGACACAATCCCTTGCATTCGCAAGAAAGCAGACTGGGCTTTGCGATGGATCTCAGACAAAGAGTCGAGCTTTGCTCAACGTCTGGTTGCTTTCGCTGCTGTCGAAGGCATTTTCTTCTCTGGATCGTTTGCATCCATCTTCTGGCTGAAGAGCAAGGGTCTCATGCCTGGCCTCACCTTCTCCAACGAGCTCATCTCTCGTGATGAGGGCATGCATACGGACTTTGCATGCCTACTGATGCAACATCTGCAGCACAAGCCCGACCCACAACTCATCGAAAACATTATAACAGAGGCTGTCAAGATTGAAAAGGAGTTTCTCACCGATGCCCTTCCTGTCGCATTGCTTGGCATGAACTCGAAGCTCATGTGTCAGTACATTGAGTTTGTCGCTGACCGCTTGCTCCTCGCCCTGGGCAACAAGCGATACTACAATGCGCAGAACCCCTTCCCATTCGTAAGTACTATCCCAGGGGTTCATCGGTGCAACAGTTATGTGGCGCTGTTACCCTTCCTAACCGAAATGCACGTCGCATTTGAAATGCTAACTGGATGGGACCTCTAGATGGAAAACATCTCTCTTGCTGGCAAGACCAACTTCTTCGAGAAGCGCGTCGGCGACTACCAAAAGAGTGGTGTCATGACTTCAGCCAACAAGAAATCCGAAGAGAAGTCTACTTCCCCCAAGGAGGAGAAGACGGAAGCCGAAAGCAACGGCATCAGCTTTGACGAAGACTTTTAGATCATACTGGATCTTTGACGACGATTTCTTTTTCTGTCGGTGTTCAAGGCGTTTCCCGGTAAACGAAGGAAGAAAACCTAGAGGGTGTCCCATCCTTTCCACACATGTTATACCCATTTCACATTGGCATCTGTCAACAAGAAAGCGGCGCGGCGGCTTTACACGGTTCTCGAGTGAGGAGGATATGGCTATTCTTGCTGAACTGGTTTTGAAAACGGTCTGCATCTTCGCGGATGCATGGGTCAGCTTGAGAGGGAGGCTCTGGCTTTTTGGTTAATCATGGAAGAAATTCATAGCGTGGTGAACTGGAAGGTTGTACGAAATACATACTAGTGATCTGAACAAGAACTCCAATCATAAACATAATAGCTGTATAATCCTGTCTCATGTCATTCGCGGATGCAGTGAAAAGCCTTAGCCTTGGTTCCATTTCCTGGCAAAAGCCAGCTTCACCGGATTCGGCCTATATCGACCCTCTAGGCATGACACGAAAATGATCGTGCGAAATCATCACCGCTTGATAACTTCAGTATTATCTCCTTGGAGATGATTTCATCGCGCATGCTATAGTGACCGCGGGGTTCGACCACCTTCTCAGCATGATCGGGAGCCATTCGAACTACACGAGCGTTTCTTGCTCCCGTCACTGGCTTCCCTTGCACTTGACCCTCGTGGTGGTCATTATCCGTGCAATGCCATTCCCTTTATCAGGATGAATCATCTTTGCGACTTGGCGGCGCGTCGAAGCCTAGTCGACCACCCGTTGAGTGACGGGCATACCGGTATATGCAACCAACCCATTTAGGGCGACCTTCACTTCTTCCCTTTCTTCTTTTTGCCTTTTCCACCTCCAGCCCCATGCGTCACAGCTGGCGGCGCAGTGACAACTTTGTCCTCGACCTTGGTTGTCGTAACGCCGTTCCCGCCATCGATGTCCATCTTGTCACCATCTACGCCTGTCCCAGCTCCTGGCGCCGCAGAAACAGCAACAGCAGCAGGCATCTCAATGACCTCCCCCTTGGCCAGTCTCCCTAGTCCAATCAATAATCTCCCAACTTCAGCAGCCTTGTCGGTTCGATATTTCAAGCATATTCCGCTCTCTGCGTGGTAGGTTTTTAAGGTGAGGACAGCAGAACGCTCCCGCTTGCCTTGCGGCTGCGAATTCGCTGCTGCTGGCGCTGTGTCTGTCGTCGAAGGGCCAGAAGCAGAATCCTCTTTCCGTTTAGATCCCTTGGGGTTTGACTTGGCCTTTGTATTAGGTTTCCGGGGTAGTGCATACTTTGTCGTGATCCGTGCGGAAGGGTAGGCTTGGATGAGGAGCGAGGATTGGTGCAGATACGAGTGCAGATCTGTGAGGTAGGTCATTTTGGCGTTGGGCATACCCTGCCTCCTCTTTTCTCTCAAAAAGGTTCGTGCGTGAGACTTCGTGGGTAAATTTGTGGTGTGATCGACTTTGCACAAAGGTGTGATTTTTGGTGACACTGATGCAGGGATGTCAATTGAGTAATTGAGATATCACTCCTTCAGAGAATGACGTCAGAGAATGTGTGCCGGTAGGTGTCAACTAGCCTCCATTTCCCGCACTTTGGAAGACAGCCCCAGGAGAACCAGGTTGGTGCTTCGATTAAGTGAATAATTAAAGAATGTACAAGCATGTACTCGGCAGATGCGGGGATTGTGAACGCACCATAGAAGCGGAAAAGCGACAAGGAGCCGAGTCTTGGCGTTCAAGTTCGGAGGCCCCTCGGCCGGCGTCAAGGTCACGTGTGAGCAGCGGAAGAAGCCGTACGGCCACTTGCTCCGATACGATATACGATTCGCCAATCAGCTTCTCGCCGGGTTTCGGACACAAACTTAACCCGGACACATCATACGATAGTATATGTGCTTCAGTAGTGTGAAGTCCAATAGTTCGACCTCATTATCAGAAGACTGCAAACGGAAATACCGGCCAAAAAAAATAAACATGCAGGTGGGACTTCAGACGGAGGCGTCGCCTCCGAGGCTGATTATGCACCTGTTGAGCTATTTGACGGGCCCCAGAGTCAGTACATTTATGGGGGACTGTGTCGTCCCTGACAGGCTTCTGTTATGGCTGTGTTGTTTACTTCCTCACAAGAACACAATTGATTCTTATTGCACCAATGGCGTCAAGCAGTCAAAGACAGAATGAGACCGAAGATGACGAAAACGACATCTCCAGTACCCGGTCACGAAGTGGGCAGTCGGTTTCGAGTTGGGATGAAAAACTGCAGCGCAGCCAGTCCATGTCCAGCAGAGCGAGCAACTATGAGCCCATCACGGATGCTGAACGTGCTGAGATCACACGGGTCGCCAGCGAGTCAAAGGTAAGGCTTCTAGGAGCTCTATGGAATCAAATCGTGAAAGCTCCTCAACTCACCGCCATTGACAGCCACCCGAACAGCACGGAGAAAGTCATGACCCTGCTCTGGATCCTTCTGATCCCGCCTTCGACATATACAAATGGGCCAGGATGACCCTTCGAGAAGCAGAAGGTGCAAACATCAAGCATCGACGTGCATCAATCACATTCAAGAACCTGAGCGTATCAGGCTCTGGAATCGCCATGAATCTCCAGCCGACAGTAGCGTCCTATCTCCTTGCTCCCTTGCGCATAGGTGAATTGGTACGCTTTGCGAAAAAGCCACAGAGAAAGATTCTCGCCGGCTTTGACGGCGTCGTCAAGCCCGGAGAGATGCTGCTGGTCTTGGGTCGCCCTGGAAGCGGATGCTCGACCCTGTTAAAGACGTTAGCTGGAGAACTCCATGGCCTGAAAGTAGGGGATGACTCGGTCATACACTATAGCGGTATGGATTACCTCCTTGCTTCGGCTGACCGTAGGGACCTAATATCCGGACAGGAATACCTCAGGACCAAATGATCAAGCACTTCAAGGGCGAGATCGTCTACAATGCCGAAGTCGACATACACTTTCCCCATTTGACCGTCAGACAGACCCTCGAATTTGCCGCTGCCATGCGTACCCCACGAAACCGAATCTTGGGGGAGTCGCGACAAGAAAACGTCAAGAGAGCCACAGCCGTCGTAATGGCAGTATGCGGATTGACTCATGTCCAGAATACAAAAGTAGGCAATGCGTATGTACGAGGTGCATCAGGAGGGGAGAGGAAGGTAAGCTTTCTGGATATACAACACCATTAACATATGCTAACCCTTTTGCAAGCGAGTGAGCATTGCTGAGATGCTTCTCTCATTTTCACCCATCGGCTGTTGGGACAACAGTACGCGTGGCCTGGATGCCTCTTCTGCTCTCACCTTCGTCCGAACTCTCAGGTTGAGTGCCGACTTGATCGGCTCTGCCCACGCAGTTGCCGCGTATCAGGCTTCCCAGGCGATGTACGACGCTTTTGACAAGGTCGTGGTCCTCTATGAGGGACGGGAGATCTACTTTGGCCCAACCATTCTTGCGAGAGACTACTTTACGGAGATGGGTTGGCACTGTCCAGCTCGACAAACAACGCCTGACTTTCTGACGTCAATCTCAAACGTGAACGAAAGAAAAACGAGAACAGGATACGAAGAAAAGGTTCCTCGTACCGCTGTCGAATTCGAACAATACTGGCGAAACTCGAGCCTTTACAGGTCCCTCCAAGAAGAAATGAAGACTCACGAAGAAGAAGATTACACCTCCGCTGCGGCCGATGAATTCAAAGCCGCCCGTCGTGCGGTCCAGGCGCACCATGTTCCTCCCAGCTCCCCGTACACCGTTTCGACGCCGATGCAAATTCAGATTTGCACCAAGCGAGGGTTTCAGCGTCTTTGGAACGAACGGGACATCCGATTCACCTTGGTCATTGGACAAGCAAGCATGGCCCTCATTATCGGCTCTATTTTCTACGGAACGATCAACGACACGAATAGTTTCTTCGCCAAAAGTTCCGTTATCTTCTCTGCTGTGTTATTGAATGCTCTGATTGCAGTTACGGAAATCAATCGCTTGTATGACCAAAGACCTATCGTGGAGAAGCAAGCGTCCTACGCGTGAGTGTCATGTGGCCAAAGTGGCCTTCGAAGCGCTTCGAGATCCCCAGTTGCGCGTCGGCTCTTCTGTGGTTCATACTGACCTGGTTATAGCTTCTACCACCCATTCACAGAGGCGCTGGCTACTGTAGTAGCGGACCTACCAGTTCAGCTGCTCACCGCCGTCGTCTTCAACGTTGTCCTCTATTTTCTCTCGGGCCTCAGGAGGGAAGCCGCACAGTTCTTCATCTTCTTCCTCTTCGCCTTTCTCACGAGGATGGCCATGATGGGACTTTTCAGAACTATTGGGGCGGCGACCAAAACAGTCACACAAGCACTTGCGATCGCTGCCGTGTTCGTCCTGGCGATAGTGATATACACTGGTTTCACAATACCTCGACCCAATATGCACCCTTGGTTCAAGTGGCTGTCGTGGTGCAATCCAGTTGCATTTGCATTTGAGGCACTTCTGGTCAATGAGTTTCATGGAAGGCAATTCCCGTGTGGCAAGTAAGTCAATGTTATCATACCCTTCATTGACCTTCACTCACACGGATCATAGCTTCGTTCCTGCATATCCAAACCTGGTTGGGGACACGTTTATCTGCTCCGTTCCTGGCGCGATTGTCGGCCAGTCGACGGTGTCTGGTGACACGTATCTCGAAAAATCTTACAGATACAGTTACAGCCACACCTGGCGGAACCTCGGCATAGTGATTGCTTTCTTGATCTTCTTCATGATCACTTACCTAGGAGTATCTGAAATCAACTCCAAACCAGACGGCAAGGGAGAAGTGTTGCTGTTCCGCCGTGGCCACGTCCCACATTACATCGAAGAGGGGTTGAGACATGAAAACTCGGAAGATCCTGAGGCTTCCCTCGCAATAACTGGGAGGCATGACACCCAAGCTGAAGATATCCGGGCAATCCCACCACAGAAGGCGATCTTTACTTGGCACAATGTCAACTACGATATCCCTGTCAAGGACGGTACACGCAGGCTACTCGACCAAGTATCGGGATGGGTCAAACCTGGAACGTTAACTGCTCTGATGGGTGTATCAGGTGCCGGGAAGACCACACTGCTGGACGTTTTAGCACAGCGCACCTCGATCGGAGTTGTGACGGGTGACATGCTTGTGAATGGAAAGCCCTTGGACCCCAGCTTTCAAAGGAAAACAGGTATGACATTATCAGCAACAGCATTTCATCGCAGCTTGTGGGCTAACAAATGGCAGGGTATGTGCAGCAGCAGGATCTCCATCTCGAGACCTCGACTGTCCGCGAAGCATTGCGTTTTAGCGCCATGGTACGTCAGCCGAAATCTGTCTCTAAGAAGGAGAAGTACGAGTACGTCGAGGAAGTCATCAAGGTCTGTATATCTCTGCTTGGGAAGGTATGTGGGCTATGCTGATGCTCCTGAAGATGATCAACGCCGAAGACTTCGCCGAGGCCGTGGTCGGTGTGCCGGGTGAAGGCCTGAATGTTGAGCAACGAAAACTCCTTACGATAGGGGTAGAGCTCGCCGCGAAACCTGCCCTCCTCTTCTTCCTCGATGAACCAACCAGTGGGCTGGACTCACAAAGCTCGTGGTCTATTCTCAGCTTCCTCCGAAAACTTGCCGACCACGGACAAGCTGTTCTGTCGACCATTCATCAGCCCAGTGCGCTACTGTTTCAGGAATTTGATCGATTGCTCTTCCTCACTACCGGAGGCCGGACCGTCTACTTCGGCGAAATCGGCACCAACTCACAGACCCTGACCAGCTACTTTGAGAGGCACGGCGCCAGGCCCTGCAGCGATTCTGAAAACGTGGCAGAGTACATGCTGGAAGTGGTCAATCCTGAAGCAAACGCCAAAGACAACCGTGATTGGGTGGAGACTTGGAGATCGAGCGAGGAGAACAAGAATATACTGGCAGAGTTGGACCGAATCAACCAGGAAACAAGCAAGATTCCCGTGGAAGACGACACCGGCACGAGTCTGAGTCAGTATGCAGTTCCGATTTACACTCAGACATATTACACGACCATCCGCGCCTTTCAGCAGTATTGGAGAACTCCTGGATATATCCTCCACAAGTTCGGCCTTGGTGTTGCTTCATCTCTGTGAGTATTGCAATATTTGAACTATTGGAAGGGAGAGGACGCTGACCGAGATAGGTTTATTGGCTTCTCATTCTGGCAGTCCAACAGCTCTCAACAAGGGTTACAGAATGTGTTATTGAGTGTGTTCATGCTTACCACAATATTCACGGCATTGATTCAGCAAATCATTCCTCGATTCGTCATTCAGAGGTCGCTCTACGAAGTTCGCGAACGGCCGTCCAGGGCTTACTCCTATGTTGCATTTCTCCTGGCAAACATCATCGTGGAGATACCCTACCAAATCCTGCTCGGGATCATGGTATACGCTTCGTATTACTACTCGGTTTTTGGGTAAGTCTGTTTAAAGCATTGATTTCTACATGTTCTTCGCTGACAGATGATCACAAAGCATACAATCTTCGGAAAGACAAGGACTTGTCTTGTTATTCTGCGTACAATTTTTCGTGTATGCAAGTACGTTTTCGCAGATGGTGATTGCAGCTCTGCCTGACGCAGAGACCGCCGGTATTATTGCAACACTTATGTTCGCCATGTGTGTTTTGTTCAACGGGTGAGTAGTGATTCCCCCCCTTTTCACTTTTTTGATTCGCATCGATTAACTCTTTCCCAGCGTGCTCCAACCACCGGATGCGCTGCCGGGCTTCTGGACGTTCATGTACCGCGTGAGCCCCTTCACCTACATCATCGATGGCATCGTGGCGACGGCGCTGCACAGCCGCAAGGTCGTATGCTCGGAAAACGAAATGAGCATCTTCTCTCCGCCACCGAACATGACGTGCGGCCAGTACCTCGCGCCCTACCTCCAGCTGGCGCCGGGCACGCTGTACAACCCCGCGGCGACGAGCAACTGCGAATACTGCGCGCTGTCGGTGGCGGACCAGTACCTGGGCCCGCGCGGCATCTCGTGGGGCCAGCGCTGGCGCAACTTTGGCCTCGTCTGGGCGTACGTGGCGTTCGACCTCTTCATGATCCCCCTGCTGTACTACACCTTCCGGATGAAGAAGTGGCACGGCCAGGTCGGGACGAGCAAACGCCGGCGCGGGCTGAACACGGTCTACGCCTGGATCCGCACGTTTGGCAGGTCTTGTCGGACCGTCCTCGTCGGGCGCTGGGAGAAGCTGCCGCTGGAGAAGCGTGCAGAGAATCCCCGGATGTATTGATTACGAGTACACATTACTTGTACTTGTGCTTCTGGTCGGAAATGATTGATCATTTGGTAATGATGGGAGGGCAGTCAATTGCGGCGGGATACTTCCCTACGATGCATATCAGGGCTGCATGTTGGGTACTCGTACACTAGTATAGAAATCTAATCTTGCCATATCTTTTGGAAGGCGTTCACTCATTACATGTACTAAAGTGGTCCTCGTCAAGCTAGCCCAGTCCATTGCACTTTGCTCTTGCTCCTCTTGTGTTCCTCTCCACCAAATAATTACCACTGGTGCCACCCCCCTTTTGATACATCAGCCTCGTGCAGTGGATCACGTGGAGCTGTATTGGATAGCATATGTATATGTATGTGATGGGAATACCAAAGGACACCCTCGGCAACCAGCTGACGAAAGTCTCATTCTCAAGCAAGGGATGATTGTCTGCTTTCAACTTGACTTTGCTCCTGTGCTGCCACGCATAGGATAGATGGATGGATGGATCAGTAGCAATGGACCTGCGGCCTGGACCTGGATCAAAAGTCTCGGCCCTCTTGTCGTCATACTTTGTCCCAAGTCTCCCTTCCTTTGTACAATGCGTCTGGTTCGTCTACCTAGTACCCAGTTCAGCTGAAACGATACGAACACGAGGCTGTGGCCGTTGGGATTTGCGGATCCAGAAAGCGGGGGACTCTCCTCCAGAAAGTCTGGAATACGAAGAGCAACAAGGATTCGAGCAGGATCAGTATGACGAACGACGTCTTCTACTCCCCTTTTCCGTACATTAAGACGTTGACATCCCGCTCGAAACGGGGTTCTCTTTCGAGACACCTACTGACTCACCCCTCTCAACAGCTGAAAGCCTCCCTCCCTGCCAGATTTTATTTGACAACACCTTCTGTACGCAATGTCCAACGCTCCAGTGTCCCCGAATGTGATGGTGCAGGTCTCTGCCAAGCCAGGCAAGGAGAAAAGAGTCGAGGAGCTCATCACCACTGTCGCCGACCAGGTCCGTCAGCATGAGCCTTGGGTCAGCTTGTACCGTTACTACAGAGCCAAGCGCGTGGGAAGCTCCTCTGAGGAGGAGGGTGTCGAGTTTATCATTGTCTTTCGGTACGTCGTGTCTACTCTCACAACTCGTCCGATGAGGTCGCTCTGTCGTGTACCTACCTGCCTTCCTGGTGCAGAGCTCGCTTGAATGAACCGGCTGGAGGCGGTTGGAAACCAAAGCTGCTGCGAAGACCGAACCACGCATCCTCTCTTCATCCATTCGCATTGCTAACATGTGTTACTCCGTTGTTCCTTCCACAGGCTCGACGACATGTCAAACCTTCAGACTCGGCGTGACTTGCCGCACCACCAAGGAATCGCCAGGGCCATCCGTGAGGAGGATCTGTTGAGGACGCCGCTGAAGTACACGGAACTTGAGGATATGGGTTTCTGGAAACGCTGAAACACGACGCTTTTTCTTGGAGAGTTCATCGACTGCGCCGTCAAATCGTGTTGATCCAGCTAAAGGAGGGGGGATGGGAGGGGGGGGGGGCAAGTCAAGTCGTTCGTCGGCTTCAAAAGTCCAGGCAACAGACAAAAGTCTTTGGGTTTCATGGTCCCTCATTTCCTCGGCAAAGAACGATACCATCAATGTAATACTCCTCTTCCATCCGATGCTGTGGCTTGTAAGACAGAATTCCCTTCAACGGACAACGGTGGTGAATTCGGATAGTTATTTCAGGTTGTTCACGATGCAAGAATCCTGGAGGAGTTGGTCTGGTTAGGTTGGCATCTGACTGGCCGGCCTATGGATGTAGCATCAAATGAGGTGCCACCAGTGCTGAGTACAAAAACAGAATGTTTGTATGTAGTCGCGGAGTATGTATGTAGGTGTTTTGTCGGGAAAACGCCACGAGGATTTTAGAAAATGCGGAGAAGGCGAAGAGAGAGGATGGCACATCCGAAATTCCACTCCCAAGTATTCGTCATCGAACCTGGCGAGCTGGTACCAATACTTTCTACATAGTATGAATCGCGCTTGACGCCTAAGATCGTGAACACTGCCCTCTCAATATGCCTCCGAGATTCAAGTCGAGTAGACTCCGGCCCTTTGTGTGCGCCGAATGCCAGCTCCGGAGCCTCTCTCGCGATCAACCTCTGGTCCGCCGCAAGTTCACCACATCCCCTCCGCTCCACGCTACATCGCCTACTCAAAGCAAGTACCTCCGTCTCACGAACCGCAGCATCATCCGCCTCGCCGGGCCCGATGCCGCCCTCTTCCTCCACAATCTCATCCCGGCCAAGATCCTCGACATTGGAGGGAGCACGAACCCGATCTACACGGCGTTCCTCTCGGCCCAGGGCAGGATATTGAACGATGTCTTCGTCTACCCACCATCACCCACAGGTGATAAACCGGGGGAGGAATGGTTCATCGAGGTTGATTCGGCCAGCGCGGGCGACCTGTTCAAGCACCTGAAGAAACACAAGCTGCGGGCAAAGTTCACGTTGGAAAAGGTGGATGGCCAGAGAATGGGGGTTTACTACACTTGGCCACCCCCGCCGTCGCATCCTTCCGGCGACAGCCACGCCTCGGAGAGTGCAAGCAGCGCATGGGGTCTAGGGGGCCAGGATCCCAGACCCGGTATGGGCGTTCGGTGGCTGCTCGACGAGACATCCTCTCAGCCAGTCGCGCTGCAGCGACTAGAAGACACGGGGAGTCAACGTGCCACGCTGGAAGAATACACGGTGCACCGTATGCTCAACGGGATCGCGGAGGGCCAGTCCGAGATCATCTCCGGCCACGCGCTGCCGCAGGAAAGCAACATTGATTTCTTTGGCGGGATCGATTTCTTCAAGGGCTGCTACCTGGGCCAGGAACTGACCATCCGGACGCACCACACCGGCGTGGTCAGGAAGAGGATACTCCCGTGCCAACTCTACGATACCGACGGCGAGCCCCTGCCCGCAGACCAGACGCTTCCCGAGTACGACCCCGGTGTGCAACTGACACTCCCGCCGCCAGGCTCCAATATCTGCAAACTCAAAGCCAAAGGGCGGGGGCGCAGTAGTGGGAAGTGGCTGGCGGGCGTGGGTAATATCGGGCTCGCGCTGTGCCGCCTGGAAATGATGACCGACATTCAGTTGACGGCGGACAGGACGAACTACGACCCAGCTGAGCAGTACAAGGTCCAGTGGGGGTCGGGCGAAGGCGAAGAACAGCAGGGAGTTATGATTAAGCCGTTTGTGCCCAAGTGGCTGAGGGATGGCGTCGAGCAGAGCTTACGGAGGAAGGAAAAGAAAGCTAAACCCAGACATGAAGAGGACGAGGAAGAGGACCTTGATTAAAGAAGAAACTTCTAATAAGATCAACCGGATGTCACAACAAGGTGTCTCATTCTGTGGTCGCTGAGCATCTCTACATTGAACCTAGGGGTTTATTCCACTTGCGTCAACGCCGCCGGTCCTCCCTGACTTACTGACCTTCAAAGCCTAGCAAAAGCCGTCTGCCAGCAGATGGGCTTTCTTGAACGTCGCATCATTCTCCATGCTGCTCATCAGCTGGCTTATTGTGGCTTGATCGGTCCATCGCCTTGCTTGGAATGGACAGCCATGAGTCCTGACTTGCACGCCAGCAACCGGTGTGGCACAGATCAGTCAGGCTCAAGCAATACGCATTTTCAGGTGCTGGTGAGATCCCGTCGCAGACCCTTCCTTTACTGTAAGGTCCATTGGTGGAGGAAACAGTTTCCTGGGGATGCTTCCTGCTGCCATGTTCAGCACTTGACAACTGGCAGCAACTCACTGGCAAAGGATGCTCGAGACTCTCCGTATAAGCGGACACAGAAACCTGATGGTGGGTCTCTGATATAGGTAGTTGTAGATGGTTTAAACCATCTTTCACTGTCAACCGCCATCAGTTTCCTTTGCTGCGGCCCACTCGACGCTTTCGATGCCTTCCCATGGGCCTTGTGCCACCACCTTCTTCGCTATTGCCAGTGACTTGAACACAATGACAGCAGTGCCCAGTAGAACCTTTTTATCTCTGCCCTCGACACGACGTTTCTTGTCTTTCAGCATCAGGACATTCTCTACATCGCCTGAGGCGAAGTTCTCTTCAAGCGCCTCCTGATCGATATCCAGACCGTCCGCTTCCTTGATCCAGCGCACCTTGACAGATCGGTCTATCGAGCCGGATTGCTCCTCCTCTGCCGTCTCCGCCGCCTGAGTTCGAGCATGTGCCTCTTGCGCCTTGTGTGCCATTGCCGCTTCCCGTTTCTTTCTGTTCTCTTCAGCGATGCGTTTGATTTCGAGTTCTCGCTCCGTCCAGGTCCGCTTCACGCCGCCTACGGAGGTGGGCATCCCCGTGACAGAGCCTTCTCTTTTCTCCAGCTCTTCCTTCATCTGTCGCCGGCGGCTTTCGAGAGCGGCGGTCTCCGCCAGCCGCCTCTGCTTCGCCTCCCGCGTCTGGTCATATTTTAATTTCTCGGCGGCGTCTGTGAGGATGTTAAGCGCCGTCTGCAGGAGTTGGAACTTCTCCAGGGTTTCTGGCGTGGGCTTGACTTTGTCCGGGTGATAGAGCAGCGACGTCTTCCTGTAGGCACGGCGGATTTCTGACTCTGACGCTGTCACCGGTATGGACAGCAATTCGTAGTAGTCGACAGTCATGTCTGCTGCGTCATTTGACGGCGCCATGGTTGCGAAAACGTCTGTCTATGTGGATTCTATGTCTGGTTGTTGGAGTTCTGCAGGCAAAGGCAGAACTGCGCAAAGATGGATGAGGTCACCGGAATATTATGCTCCACAGTAGCCACTACGGCGCACCGCAAGCCCATACATGTCATCGATTGATTCCTCGTTGCCTCTCTCCCAACGGCTTTTCCATGGCTTCATGCAAAGAAACCACTTGAGTCCATATCTTTCCGTCTGTAGATACCGGTATCTCAACCTGTCACTGACATGCTCCCTCTCGCGTAATACATGCCGTTCTTTTTATCCTCTTCTGAATAAGTTGTCAGAACAGTGCATTCCGCACCTTCCATGTTTCTCTGCCCAGCTCTCGACTTCCGTCACTCTCCTTTGACTCCATGACATCGACTTCCCCTCTCGTACTCTCTGTCTTCTCCTACTCTCTGAACCTTTCCTTTCTTTGCCCGCAGTATGTGCTTCTTCTACGCTCTCAAAGGTGAATAGGAGACATGACAACTCCCCTCAAGCCAGCCTTGGACCAGAACTGTCATGACCTACCTTGCCCCGCCCAAATCGCCTTTGCCATTGCCGTCATTCGTTCGAAACCACCCCAGTTTTCCATAGAAGGTATCGAATTTTCCGTGTCACAGAGCTTCCCGAGCTGATTTAGCGTCAGAATACCTCGAGCACCTTCGTCAGGCCATCGTGGTCCGGTCTCACAAACCCTCCACGATTCTTGACTTTGACGCAACGATGTATTGGAAAAGCGCCTACCAGAAAGCCGAATCAGAGCGCCTGAAGCTAGCCGATGAGCTGGAACGGTTGAGAGAACCCTTTTTACCTGCTGAAGATGTCCAGCCTCCAAAACGACAGTCCACCGCTGGCAAACGCAAACGAGATGCTGTGACGATCCCGGCGAGAAAGGCCAAACCAGCGACCAGACAGCACAGGGAACTTGAAAATGACGATAGTGACTTGGGAATCGAAAGTCTCAATATACCGCTCACAGGTGCGTTTCAGGCATCTAGCGTGGGGAGATATTAATTCGCTGCAGATCGTCAATCATTCCTTCGCAGTGTCAGATCCCTCCGCCACAGCCTGCGTCTAACCGATCCCTGTCAGGAGGTTCTCGTAGATGCAATCAAGGCGCTCGCGATTTCCGTCTCAAGGATACTCCAGAAGCAACCGAGAGCAACGCGAAAGAATAACGCCAAGCTGGAAGACCCATCGATGCAAGATCTTTCTGCGGTCTTCAGGAATGTCTACCCATCGATTCTGGAGGGCCTGAGATGCATCCAGCAACAGATGGGTGAGGAAGGTGAAGAAAACTACCCTGCTCTCTCACACCTGACCAAGGTGTTTCATGCCTTCCTCGGACGACTCCACGAGCTCGCCTTGAATGAATATGCCAGACAAAAGCAACACGTCAAATCGAAGAGACGGAAGCCTGCCCCTATGCATGAGACTTCCAGCCGTGGATATTTGCCAATGAGCGAACAAACCGTCGCCGAAACCAAAGAGATGGTTCGAACACTGGCGTATATGATAACAGCGCTTGACGTTTCCAGCGATGTTCACTGTGAACTCTTAGAAGGATACATGTGTACAATCTTAGACCATGTTGGTTCAATATTGTCACTTCTGGTATTTGCAGACTCGACGGGGACAAGGAACAAACAGACCGGTCTGCTTGCACCACGCGGTTTGATGGACGCTGCGCATCTTGATACCGCGTCCGCGACAGGTGCAGCTACAATTGAAGGACCATACCTCATCTGGATTTTGCGCAAGGGAATGGAATTCTTGCTGGCAAACACCAAAAATATGTCTGAAAAGTCCCAGCTCATTTTCGCATTGCAGGGGTCCGACTCAAAAGATGTCGCCCATGGCAAAGGTCTTCGGCGACGGATTGAGGAAACACTCCAGAATACGCTTCTTCGAGGAGTGTTTGGAGATGATGACGATACATTCTACAATTCTCTGAGACGTGACGAGGAAGGGGAGGGGGAAGGAGAATGGACGCAAGTGATGGAGGCGATCGGGGAGAAGGAACGGTCTCCCGAGTGGTTTATTGGAGAGGTTTGGGAGCATCTAGGCTGGGATATCTTATCTGGGAGGAGGGATGTTTGAGCCTCTTCCATTTTGGCGATCTGGCTCGAGCAGCAACAGCAGCAGCAGCACCCCCTTGACGCACTTTTGTCGTATTTCAGTTCTGGTCGGGATGTCAGAGTTTTGTGGGCTTTTAGCAGAACTTCCTGCAGCCAGCACAGAGAATTCGCGAGCGGTCAACACGATCTCAACAATATGAGATGGGGACCATAGGGTTCTATAAGTCTAAACCGAGCACTCTGATGGCATTTCCACCCAAGATCTTTTTCTTTGCGGCCTCGTCCTCTGGTAAGCAGTCATCAATGGCCCCTTTATTGCTCTCCACGCTCAACCACTTTGCCTCCTTGTCATCCCCCAGTGGCGGGAAAAAAGGGTGATCGGTTCCAAACATGACCCGATCCACGCTGCCTGCCGCCTCGATCGCGGCTTTCAGCCCCGGTTGTCCGTAAATGACAGCGTCAAGGTAGATGTTTGTGTGCAGCACATCCCAAATTGAGCGTTGGGGACCCTGCCGATGGCCGCCGTTGGCGATGAATCCCCGCTCGTGGGCGACGCAAGATTCGATCCTCCCCGCCAGGAAGGGCAGGGTGCCGCCGGAATGAGCCAGAAGAAACTGCAGGTGTGGATGGCGGTCGAAGACGCCCGAGAGGTACATCCGCGAGACGGCGATGGTCGTTTCCAGCGGAAACCCTAATGCTAGAGGCAGGACATGGCCGGACTTTGCGACGACGTCGGGCCCGCCAAAGGCCGAGTCTGGCAGGCCGTAGTGCGGGTGCAGGAAGACCAAGGTCGCGGTCGAGGCCAGGGCAGAGTAGACGTCGTCCAGAGCCGGGTCGTCGAGGCCGTTGCCCAAGCCCGTCGTGCCCATGATGACGCCCTTGACGTGGCGGAGCGACTTTAATCGGTGGATCTCGCTGACAATGTCCTTTGCCGGGGCGGACAAGGGGAGACAGCCAAAGGCGTAGAGTTTCAGTCCGTCATGAGAGCTGGAAGCGACATTATTCTCCGCGCACGCCGCGTCGAGGTCATTGTTGATTTCCTGGGCCGTTTGTAGAGCGGTGGCCGGGTCGAGGAAGTCGAGCCACGGATTCGCCAGGCTGACGACGCTGCATGAGATGCCGTGCCGGCGCATAAAAGCCCGTTTCTGGTCAAATGACGAGTACGTGCTGTCGACGGGCCTGCCCCGCGAGGATTTGGGTCGAGACGGATCGTCGTCGGACGCGAGGATGATGAGTCGTGGGTCGGCGTCGGGCGTGTCGCTGGGCTGGTGGATGTAGGGGACCGTGGTGCGCGAGGAGAGCAGTTTGATGTATGACGGCGGGTACATGTGGGTGTGTATGTCGACGACGACGACGGTGGTGGGGGAGCCTGATTGAGGCATGATGTATGGTGGTGGTGGTGGTGGTGGTGGTGCTGTGTAACGTCAAGGTTTGTGTTGTGTATCCCTTAGATTCCCTCCCCTCTGTTCCTAGCTCTTTTCGTTTTCGTAGTGTGGGCTGTTTTTGGTATTTTGGTATATACAAGTACGAAAAAAAGGGTGACCTGATCAT